AGGACTCCACAGCTTAGAGGGAACATTGGCAGGCACATGCAACAAGCCCCGCCCCCCGCTCCCAGCAGCCCTCAGTCAGAGCAAGAAGCAGCCAGGTAAGTTGCAGAGCTCCCCCTGACAGTCCAGTGGCACCTTTAAGACCAAGTTTTATTCAGATACAAGCTCTCCCTCCTCTGCGAGGACAGATCTGCATGTCCCCCCCCCAATAGCTAGCAATCCAAAGCAGTCCAGTGGAGCCTGAGCGGTGAGTGTTGCCTTCTGACACGCTTCCGGTGATGTCAGGGGGCGTGGCATATGCAAATGAGTTATGCTAATGAGCTCCTGAACCTCTTTTTCTACTAAATGACCCCTGATCAAAAGTGTACAAAAGTGAGTTTTAACAATTATCGTTAAATTCATAGCTGTTAACAAAGTTCTCTGGAATGATGTATTGTTTCGTAGGGACTTTTTCTGAACAGCAGCATGTCTCGTTACTGATACAACATATGACCCCTGATCAAAAGTGTACAAAAGTTAGCTTTAACAATTATCGTTATTAAATTCATAGCTCTTAACCAAGTTCTCTGGCATGATGTATTGTTTCGTTGGGACTTTCTCTGAACAGCAGCGTGTCTCCTTACTGATACAACATCAATTGATGTCTAGATACTAGACGATTGTAGTCATTTTTGCTCAGGGCATTTTGCTCAGGGCAGGTTAAACAGTCACTAGTAGCCTGTTCAGAGGAAGTACCAACAAAACGATAAGTCGTTCCGGAGAACTTTGTTAACAACTTTGAATTTAATAACCATGATTGTTTAAACTCACTTTTGTACACTTTTGATATATTTTGAATATTGGATAATATATTGTACTATATGGACATTTAGCGCACTATTTCGGGTTCCTTTGGGTCTGATTATTTAGTATATTGCTGGTTTAGGCCTGTCCCTGGCATCAGTAAGTCCACGCTCGTAGCTAATGTGGGGAGGGGAAGGGAGACACAATTTTTACGGGCCCCATCCTCGGCTCCCCCTCCCTCCCTCCTATTGCTGCCCTCAGCCCAACAGCCGGCAAGGAGGCTCCTCCATTCCCTCCAACGAGGCTGCTGGGAAGCGCCTCCTCCCCGCCCGCACGCCCCTTGGCACGCCAGCTGCACCACTCTTTCACTCCCGATCCCCCTCCCGGGGGGGGGGCTGCTGGCTGGTCTCTCTGGGGAAGGCAGGGGGGCTCCTCCTCCTCCTGGGCATGCGGATCTGCCACCGGGCACCCCTCCCCCAATTCTCCGGTCCGGGGCAGAAGTTTCTCCACTACCTGCCGGCTCCACAGCCCGATTCGTAACCCTTTCAGCCTGCCGGCGACTGGAAGCACCTGACGCGGATAATTCACCGTGGTGGCTGCTACTGGCGTGTTGTGGTGGTGGTTGTTTTTAATTAAAGCAAATATATTTATGTTTGGATGTTTATATTGCGCCTCGGTGGATACCGTGACGCCCTGGGCTGTTGGCTCCCCCCGGCCCCCTCCCCCAAAACGTCATAGCTATGGGACTAAGTCCCCCTTCCCCTTGCTGGTTCCCAAGTGGGACCTGGCAACTCTAGCACTTGGAAATCTCCAGGAACTGATGAAAACGACTCTTTTCCCCGTGAGTTATGTACTTAACACCGCTTCACTGCTTCAGGGAAGTGGGGTTTTCCCTGCTCCCCTGGAGTATCCTCTGGTGCATTCATTCATATACCTCCCAGGGTTTCCCCAGCTTTTCCCTGATCTTCCTCAAACCTGCTTTGCTGAGTAGTTTCATTTCACTGTCAGTTTGCTGTTTCCCCGGCTTCTCTGAAAGTGGTCGTGGCCCTTTCTGCATGCACAGCTCACTGTCGCTTACTCCGGGGAACCCGAGCAGTCGAGCCTTTAAGGCTGACTTCGGATTTGTGTGCCTGCCCTCTCCGCTATACTTTTTTCCTCTGGTTTATCCATTGTGTATTCTGTGGATGCATTCTGCATCAACAACCAAAACCCACATTTTTTGCTTAATGGTGGTTGTGATGTCACTTGTGACCTGTGCGGGGTGGCACCCAATTCCCACCGACTTGGCCAAGTGCGCATGCAAGGGATGGGGTGCACGACGCCCTCCCCTTTCTCTCCTCTCCTCCTCTCCCCGCTCTCCCACCCCCTTTGGCTCGCCGCCGCTGGGCTACTCCAGGCACGGGCGACCCATAGAGGAATGCAACCTTGGTGTCTGTCTGGTCTGTCTGGTCTGTCGGGAGGGGTGGTGGTGTCCAACGCTCCCTCTAAGCTGTGGAGTCTTGTGAGCAAAAATTCTACTTTGTGAGCTACTGGCATTAAAGTTGTGAGCAAACAATTTAGCTATGGCATAAATTAGTTTGCTCTGGAGCCATCCTTCCTGAGCTAGGACAAAAATATGTGAGCTGGAGCCTAAAAAAACTGTGAGTCAGCTCACACCAACTCAGCTTAGAGGGAACACTGGTGGTGTCCCAAGGATTTTTTAAAATTTTAAAACAAGGAGGCCCCATTTTAATGCTAAGTTTCCAGAGACTGCCAAAATGTTTAAAGAGGCATAGAATGTAGACATGTTTAGTTAATCCTTCTCAGCAGGGGTCATTCCCTGCAGGAGCACACAGGAGCGGAGCTCTGGCAGTAAAGAGCCCAGGGGGCGGGCACATGCAACAAGCCCCACCCCCTGCCCCCCTGCTCCCAGCAGCCCTCAGTCAGAGCAAGAAGCAGCCAGGTAAGTTGCAGAGCTCCCCCTGGCCCCCCGGTCCAAAACAGTCCAGTGGCACCTTTAAGACAAAGTTTTATTCAAGCTCTCCCTTCTCTGCGAGGACAGATCTGCACGTCGTCCCCCCACAATAGCTAGCTATCCAAAACAGTCCAGTGGAGACTGAGCGGTGGGTGTTGCCTTCTGACACACTTCCGGTGATGTCAGGGGGCGTGGCATATGCAAATAAGTTATGCTAATGCGTTATGCTAATGAGCTCCTGCACATCTTTTTCTACGAAATGACCCTGCCTCTCAGAGCCAGAGTGATGTAGTGGGTAGACTGCAAGGTGCAGGGGAGACCCCATGAATGCATGGTGGCAGCAAACGTTCTGGCCCCTTGCTAAGGTTGGACAAGAGGGGCCAGCAGAGTGCGCCCTTGCCCGTGCCATGCGTTGGGATCCCTCAGCTCCCCAAACGCTTCCCACTTGTGCACGATTGGCAGGTGGGGGTGGGCTCTTTGCAGATGCAGATGCCACTGTCATCCTGTCCGGGGCCGCAAAGCGGCCCAAAACTAATGCAGCCGATTAGAAAGATGCTCACCTCAGGGCAAACGAAAGAAGCGGGGGACCAGACCTGGAGACAACTGCCAGGAGCACCTCCTCTTGTAAGGCTGAGGGAAACTGACAGGCAAGACTGAAAGCCAGTTTGGTGTAGTGGTTAAGTGCGCGGACTCTAATCTGGGAGAACCGGGTTTGATTCCCCACTCCTCCACTTGCACCTGGCTGGATGACCTTGGGCAAGCCGTAGTTCTGATAAGAGCTATTCCTGAAAAAGAGCCATTTCTGTCAGAGCTCTCTCAGCCCCGCCTACCTCACAGGGTGTCTGTTGTGGGGAGGGGAAGAGGAGTTTGTAAGCCGCTCTGAGACACCTTTGGGTAGTGAAGGGCGGGGTATAAATCCCATCTCTTCTTCTTCTTCTTCTGAAACCAGGCCCGCTTGGAACCGGCCCAGCGAATCAGAACCAAGCTGGAGTTGCCCAGGCGCTGAGAAGGCAGGTCTCCACAGACGTATCTAAGAAGGAGCAGTTGGGGGAGGGGGGAGCTCGGCAGGGTGTGACGCCATACAGTCCACCAGCCATGGCTGCCCTTGCATCCAGGGTAACGGATCTCTGTACCCTGCAGATTCACTGTCAATCCAGGAGAACTCCAGCCCCCCCCTCCCACATCTTAGATTTGGGTTTTAGCATACACAAGGAAATTGGGGAAAAGAACAGTAGAATATTGTTGAAAACTAATACGATGGGGCTGGAGAGAGGGGGAAAGGGTGAGTTAATGAGGGGCTCTGATAGTGGCTTCTTGCCCACGAAGTTTGAAAAGACAGGATCCCTGCGGCTTTAAGATTTTATTTGATATCTATCCCAGCCAATACTCCGCCTAAGGTGTGGAGTCTTGTGAGCAAAAATCCTACTCTGTGAGCTACCGTGAGCGAGCAATTTGGCTGCTGTGTAAATTAGTTTGTTCTGGAGCCCTCCTTCCTGAGCAAAGACAAAAATGTGTGAGCCGGAGACTAAAACACTGTGAGCTGGCTCACACTAACTCAGCTTAGAGGGAACACTGGCCCCAGCCATCCTCCAAGGAACCTGATTATTTCTTTCAACCCATGTTATCCTGCAGCAACAACCCCGGTGAGGCAGCTTAGACTGAGAGGGAATGACTAGACCAAGTTCACCTGGTGAGCTTCAGGGCTCAGCAAGGATTTGATCCTGTCTCATTTTTGCATGACTAGGCACACTTGCCAATTTTTTTGCCTTCTGGACACCTTTAGACTGCAAACCCACACACAATCGCTTGGAAGTAAAGCCTCACTGAATTTAGGGGGACTTATGACCAAGTAAAGGGGCTGTGGTGGCTCAAGTGGTTAAGACGCTGAACTGCAGACAGGAAGGTCGGTAGTTCGGCAGTTTGAGACCCGAGTGTCGCAAGACGGAGTGAGCTCCCGTCTCTGGCCCCAGCTCCTGCCAGTCTAGCAGTTCGAAAGCAAGGAATTGCAAGGAGATATACAGGTACCGCTTCAGTGGTAACAGCGTTCCATGCGCCATGGTGTCTAGTCATGCCGGCCACATGACCATGGAAACGTCTCTGGACAGCGCTGGCTCTTTGGCTTGGAAACGGAGATGAGCACTGCAACCCTAGGGTTGGATTCGACTGGCTTTCGAGCAAGGGAAACCTTTACCTTTACCTATGACCAAGTAAAGATACAAACTGGGTAGCAGGAGAAAGCGGCGCGGGGCTACTTATGGCTACTTACCTAGAACCTGTAGAGAGAAGAGGGTGCACTGGATTTTGCCTCCCACTAGAATGTCTGCTGTGTATTCGCCAGAATCGTTCTGTTGCAGTTTAATGAGAGTCAGGCGGCCCGTAGCTGAATCTAGCTCCGCTCTGCCCTGGAGGCCAGGGGCAAACCAGAGGCTCTGATCCCATTCGGCCACTAAATCCTTGCCTTTCATCCAGGAGACTGCTGACGGGTTGGTTCCAGCATTCACTTTCGGCTCCATAGTGACGGCTCCTCCAGCTATGCCAGACATTTCCAAAGGTGGCTCGTGTAGACAGCTGAGACAAACTGTGGCCAACAAAAGCACAAAGATGCGCAATTACCTGCCTGTGGTATTGGAAGCTGAGAGCGCATTATGTCCCGTGGGAAAAGAAAAGGGAGGTGTGCATCAAACCCATCTTGGCTGGGGCACAGTGGTTACAGCAGGGGTCCCCAACGTTTCCAAACCTACGGGTGCCATGAAATTCTGACACAACATGGTGGGCGCGGAGACAAAATGGCTGCCACAAAATGGCTGCCACAAAATGGCTGCTTTTAGCTTACCTTCAGTCACACAGTGAAGAACCTTTGTGCTGTGGTGGCAGCTGCTGTCAAAGCAATGTTTTTAAAAATCTGCACTGCCAAGCAAATTTTCGGCAGCCAATCAGAACCTCATGTGACTATGGATGCTTTCTAAAAGAAAATGTCAAGCGTCAGAACAGGTATCAGCGAGCATCATGGTGCCCAGGGGAACCTTACTGGGGACCCCTGAATTAGAGTGTTGGGACTAGGATCTGGGAGCCCCAGGTTCGAATCCCCACTGTGCCACAGAAGCCTGCTGGGTGACCTTCGGCCAGTCACACACTCTCAGCCCAACCTATCCCAGTTGTGACCATGAAAACGGGAGGAGGGGAGAGGGATATAAGCCACTTTGGGGAGAAAAGTGGGGGGTAGAAATGAAGGAAATAAAATAATAGCTCTAACAACTTCTAAAATTTATTGACGTTATTTATAGCCCACCTTTCTCACTTGGACTCAAAGAAGATTATGCAGAGTGAGCCAGTACAATCGATAGGATGGGATGATCAGTGAGTAACACAATCGGAATTAGAGTTGCCAGGACTGGTTTGGACCTTGGCGGGTGGATCCAGGAGAAGGCGGGGGTTTGGGGAGGGGAGGGGCCTCAGCAGGGTACAGTGCCACAGAGTCCACCCTCCAAAGCAGCCATTTTCTCCAGGGGAGCTGATCTTGGTTGTCTAGAAATCAGTTGTAATCGCAGGAGACCTCCAGGTGCCACCTGGAGACTGGCAACCCTACCTAGTGGGGATCTGAACCTGGGTCTCTCAGGTCCTAATCTGAGATTCTAACCACTACACCACATTTCGGAAATTTTCGAAACGCGTCAGCCAACTGAGATTTGTTTTCAGAAGAACTCGCGAGCCATACCTGAAGCCATGCCATGAGAGGCATCTTCGGATGAAAAAATGACACAAGTTCTTCTCGATTGCATTCATGCCTTCAAAATAGTTTGTAATGCACCCAGGAAGGGTTATGCATTAGATGTACAAATAGCGTTAATTTTATTTAAGCTACACTTCATTGCTATTATATAAAAATAGAGAATCTGTGACGTAAGTTGGCATGGATTGTTTTACACAGGCTGATTTCGCAGAAGGAGCTGCGCCGCCGTCGTGCCTCCCTTTCCATTGGTCAATTTCCCACAAAGCCACGCAGCCACATTTTGACCCGCAGTTTCGCCCGATTTTCCCCGCTGTTTCGTGATCCTCAAAAAACAGGATCACAAAACCCTGGGGGAAATCGGGCGAAGCCACGGGTCAAAATGCGACCGTGTGGCTTCGAGTGGGAAATTGACCAATGGAAACTGGGCAAAGGGAGGCGCGACGGCAACACAGCTCCTTGTGCAAAATCAGCCACAATCTTTCCCGTGTGCTCTTTTGGTTTACCCAACTTTCTGCAAGGGAGCTGATCTCTGTCAGCTGGAGATGAGTTGTAAAAGCGGGAGATCTCCAGGCCCCACCTGGAGGCTGGCAACCCTAGTTGGAATTAGGGAAGTAGAGCCAACCGGAAGTCTGAAAACGCAACTGAAGCAAAGCATAACTGTGAACACGACACATTAAACTATGCAAGAATCCCACAGTAGGATCCTAGTTTCAGCAAGCCGTACGTAGCAGTATAGCCCACATTAGCCAGGTAACTCAATGGCCTCCGGTCTTCCTCTTACCCCAGGGTTCCCCAGACTTTTTGACCCTGTGGGCACCTCTGGAATTCTGACCCAGGATGGTGGGTGCAACCACACAGGGGCCACCAGAGAAGGCAGGCACGTGCACAGAGGAAGTCCAAATGCAGGGGGCACGAGGAGTAACCCTAAAAAAAAATCCACCGGGAAAGATGAGGGAGGGAGAATAAATCCAGTGATGCGGTGATGGCTGGTGCTGCCGAAATGATGTCATCTTAATCTGCACAGCCAACCAGATCTCCAGGGGCTAACTGGAAGTCCTGCTGGGTAACAGCCCCGCCCACTTTCTAAAAAAACTTCGGGTGGCCTGGAAACGTGTCAGGGGGTGTCTCGGCTCCCATGGGCACAACGTTGGGGACCCTTGTCCACGGAGGGGCCTATAGCAACATTTAGAGCAGGAGCTAGAAAAAGGCACATCTACTTGACGACACTCCTATATGTGGTCCTTTCCACACTTGAATCATCCCTGGTTTTATCAGAGCAAGTCGTGACACAATACCTTGCATTTATCCCTGGTTATAACGGTCCTTTCCACACTACACCTTAAATCCTGATTCAACCCTGACCCCGAAGTTACATTCTACACTCCACTCGAGTTCACCCCTGTAATTATCCTGGGGTATTTTTTTGTTTCCACATTACATTGAGGTCACCCTGGTTTTGCCCCACACTTGTCCCGGGATAAAGGGATGCTGTTATAACCAGGGATAAATGTCAGGTATTGTGTCCTGATTTGAACTCTGATAAAACCAGGGATGAGCTCCAAGTGCGGAAAGGACCAACAGCATCCATTTATCCCGGGACAAGTATGGGGCAAAACCGTGCTGACCCCAAAGTAATGTGGAAACAAAAATTTCCTGAGATAATTACAAAGGTGAACTCAAGTGTAGTGTAGAATGTCAGTTCGGGGACAGGGCTGAACAAGTGGTTAAGATGCTGAACTGCAGGCTGGAAAGTCGGTAGTTCAGCAGTTCGAGACCCAAGTGCCGCATGATGGAGTGAGCTCCTGTCTCTGGTTCCAGCTCCTGCCAACCTAGCAGTTCAAAAGCAAGAAATTGCAAGTAGATAAATAGGTACCGCTTCAGTGGGAACAGCATTCCATGCGCCTTGGCGTGTAGTCATGCCAGCCACATGACCACAGAAACGTCTTTGGACAGCACTGGCTCTTCGGGTTGGAAACAGAGATGAGCACAGCAACCCTCGGATTCGACTGGCTTTCGAGCAAAGGAATCACCCACAGTGTTGTTCTTTGCCACCGGTGAAGGGGGCTGAACGGTCCCCTGCAACAGCACAGGCAACCCATCTTCCTCACGTGACTCTTGAATTCATCCTGAGAGGCCTCGTGTGGTTGTCACGCTTTCCCTTCCCCAGGACTGAAGGGGAATTTGAGATTTCTCAGTCGGCCACTTAACAAAACAAGCAAACGACGTATGCATTGTTTCTGTTAGACTACTAAGAGGCAGCCCGGTACTGTGGTTAGTGTAGCCGACTAGGACCCAGGAGATCCAGGTTCGAATCCCCTCTTGTCATGGAAGCTTGTTGGGTGACCTTGGGCCAGTCACACACTCTCAGCCTAATGAGATGAGCTTTCATGAGTCACGGCTCACAGAGCCAGAGTCCAGTAGCTCCTTAAAGACTAATGAAATTTGTGGCAGGGTTTGAGCTTTCGTGAGTCACACAGTCTCACTTCTTCAGATTCCCTTCTTCAGATTACAGTCCGTGGCAGGTAAAAAGGTTGCCCCAGGACAACCAGAGCTAATGGCTGGCAATTGGTTACATTTGGAAAGTTCTTTGCCATGCACAACCTGGTGCTTTTAAAACTTTTTTTCCCCCTGCTCTGCTTGCAGTTCTTTGAAAACAAACACCTATGTTTTATTGAAGTATCTGTCCAAAGCCGCGCTCCTAACCACAACACCAAACCGGCGCTACACCAAATTCAACCGCTAATATAAAAAATAGCTTAGATTACAACCTTATGCTAGGGGTGTGCAAAAAAAAAAAAATTGTCTCAATGCGGATTCAGACAACCTTCCCCTCCCCACAACAGACACCCTATGAGGGAGGTGGGGCTGAGAGAGCTCTTTCAAGAACTGCTCATGAGAGAATAGCTCTGAAAGAACTTGTGACTGACCCAAGGTCACACCAGCAGCTGCATGTGGAGGAGTAGGGGGATCAAACCCGGTTTTCCCAGATTAGAGCCTGCGCTCCTAACCACAACACCAAACCGGCGCTACACCAAATTCAACCGCTAATATAAAAAATAGCTTAGATTACAACCTTATGCTAGGGGTGTGCAAAAAAAAAATCGGCTCGATTCGGATTTGGACAAATCGGGCAGAATCAATTTCGGCTGACAGAAAGACTCCCACATGTCAATTTCGGCAGTAGGAGCCATTGGGGAGTCCTTTGGCCAGCCGAATGTCAATTTCGGCCCCTTTATATCTTACGGGCCATTGAAAATGGCAAAAACATAGGGTATATTCTGGGGGCTGGAGGGAAGGGGGTTTGAGGAAGAGGCTCCGAATGCTTATGGAAAGGGGGGTGCATACGAATACCCTATATCCCATTATGCTTGTAAGAACGTTGCCATTCTTAACAGTGACTATCTTAATGCCTCTATAGCTCTGCAATAAAGTATAACCTTTCTGATAAGCGTGTACTCTGTTGTTGGCTATGGAACCTGATACATTGTTCTCTACAGTGGGGAAAAAGTAACTTTCCCCCCACCATAGAGAACAATGGAGGGGATGGGGGCAACCTGTTTGGGGGTCCATAGAATTGGACCCCCAAGTCCAATATTCTTAAAACTTGGTGGGCATCTTTGGGAGAGGCTCCAGCAGCTACCCTGTGAGGTTGGAGCCTCTTCATCAAACCTCTTCTCCTCCAGCCCCCAGAATATACCCTATGTTTTTGCCATTGACTTCAATGGCCCATAGGATATAATGGGGCCAAATTCCCGCCGAAATTCGGCGGCAATTTGCTGGCAAGCCGATTTAGATCAGAGAATCTGAATCAGCCCGCAGTAGCCCGAAAGGGGGCCAAATGAGCCATTTTCGGGGGTGCATTCTGTTCAGACGAACCGAATGCACATCCCTACCTTATGCTTGCGTAGCTCATAATACCTCCTGATGAATAGATACAGTAATAAACTAAAGAAACTGAAGAAACAACTGAACATGAAAAGAGAACTATCTGGACTCATCAACCTGTAATCTTCCGGAAATGTTTGTAAAGCATTATTTTAATCAGAAAAATCCTCAGCCTGGAAATTTTATTTAAATAACGTTAAGTCTACTTTTCTGGTTTAGACCAGATCATAACACAGTGAGTCAATACAATCAACGGATGGGACATTCAATGAACAATGCAACAGGAATTAGGGTTGTTGAAACAACCAGAAGTCTAAAAAAAGAACTGAAGCAAACATAACACATTAACTGATGCAAAGAAAACATAGCAGGATCCCAAATAACAAAGTTTGAGTCCAGTGGCGCCTCTGAGTATACGTTTCCACGTGCTTGCACACTAGAAGAAGTGCACACAAAATCTTATACCCAGAATTAAACTCTATTGGTCTTAAAGGTGCCACTGGAATCAAATTTGGTTCTGTCGCTTCGGACCAACACAGTTACTCGCCTGAACCTACAGTAGGCTCCTCGTTCCAGCAAGCTATACACAGTAGTATTTGTTTCCAGCCAGGGACTGTAAAAACAAGGCCCAGGCAGGCCCCGATCCAAAATATCAGAGGGTGCGCCATGTTCAACTTGGTGGGCCACACAGACCACGTGATCTCGTATTCAGAGCTGCCCAGTCACATCCTCTCCAGCCCACCGCTTCTCTCATGCCGCCCGCGCCTGCCTTACCTCTGCCAGTCAAGTAGAAAAGCAGTTGCGTCGCCATGGCCAAGAAAGGCCCTCTCCGAGGATTGTCGACCATCTTTCCCGAATGGTTCTTCTGGGCAGTAGCAGAGGCTGTAGGCGAACTCAAGGCCACATTATCAGAGGGTTCATCCTGAGTTAATGATCGACGGATGCTGAGACTGGGGTGCCGGGTAACTCAGACAGCTGCCTCTTCCCGTTTCAGGAATTTTTATACCAAAACCCGAGCTATGTACTTCTAACTATTGTTACTGCTATTGCTACAGAAGAGAGGAGCGATACGGCACATCGACGACTGCAAAGAGAACGGATTCAGTCCCCGGGGTCAGCTGGTTTTGGTTTCTGTGGGCCGTTCCAAAGGTGCGTCTCAATAAGCCCTCTGTCTGCCTGCCGCCCAGAGAATCAAAACTCCACAAATCATCCTGGCGGAGAGTCCAAGCTCTGTTTACTCTCTCTGCTTCCAAGCACGGGTGGTGCAAGGCGGCCCATGGTTCCCCGGGAGATCAAGGCCGCTGGCAAAGAAGATGCTCTCAACAAACCAGAGATTGTCCCAGCATGGATTCATTTGTCCGGCTGCAGGCAAGAAGCTGCCAAAATGCAGGCAGATGGCTGTGCTTAATAGTGCTAGTGGCGGCACAGTGGTTAGTGTCAGACTAGGATCCAGATGACCTGGGTTTGAATCCCCGCCCTGCCACAGAACCTTGCCGGGTGACTTTGGGCCAGTCACACTCAGCCTAACCCTCCTCACAGCAAGCACGTAGCTAGGATTTTGTGGCTTGTGGGGCAAATTTTTTTCTGGTGGAGCTGAAGTTCTCACAGTGCAGAAAGAAAAGCCATTTAGCCAATAGAAAGCTGTGACCAGGATAGATCTCTAAACTGCAAGCTATCAACCACTTTAGATGCCAGTCCTCAGCTGCTGCAAAGTTAATCACTTCCGCCAGCCTAAGCAACAATTCTGAGAACAAGCCGGCAAGTGGGGGTGATGACTTCTAGAGTCAAGAAAGCTAACACTTGGGCAGAAAAACTCTCTTAAAGGAGACCAGTTTCTTGAGACAGAGTTGGAAGGAATCCTAGAGGTCACCTACTCCAACCCCCTTGCTCAGGGCAGGAATCAGTCTGCTCAGGGCAGCATCCCACTCTGCTAAAAGGAGCTAACGCCTTTTAAAAAAATGTTTTTAAATGATTTTAATAAGCATTTACAAGATAAATTTTTGTGGGGTGCACCTTTAGGAAAGGGGGCAGAACACCCCAAAGCCCCACCGTTGCTACTGGCCTGCCTCACAGAGTTGTCATGAGGATACCTAACATATCCGATTGGTTTTTGAAAGTTCAGGAACTTTGTATAATGGACAAATTAGCAGACTCCATGTTACCAGGTGAATCTGACCCCTATACCTCGAACTTTGTTAAAATTTGGTTTCCAGTTCTTGAGTACTTTGCTTCTCAAAAAGAATTTGAACCTATTCTTGAAACTATTAACGTTGTGTATTAGTTTGATTGGCCTTTGTTAGTTCTAAATTTATACATGTTGCATCCTTCTTCCCTCGAAGTAGTTTATTAGCTTGGGGGGGGGGATTTTAAGGATAAAGTGGAGGAGAGGAGAACCACGTGAGCCTGTTTGGGTTCCCAGTGGGGAGAATGGTGCGGTATCAAAGAGTTATGGGTTCTCTTTAATTCCTGCACACGCAGTGACCGATTAGGATCTTTTAAATCTTGCAGGAGGGGAGGGAGAGGGGTGGCCAGTGGCCGTCGGGCTGGTGGGCAGATTGGAGCTGACATAAAAATAATGGCAGCCGCACAAGTCGCAAAATCCTGGCCAGGGGCCTGAGTAAACAATAATAAGAAAAAGAAGACAGTGGCCAGTCCATCCAGAACCCCCGGAGGGCCCACCACAGGGCCTGGAGTCTGAGACCTTTCCTCTCCTGCCTTGTACAGGGGGTTGGACTAGATGACCCCGGGGTTCCCTTCCGACTCTATGATTCTCTGATGCGGCCTCCTCCTGGCACCGGCATTCTGGCCCGTCACCCCCCAATCCCCCGCTGTCTCTCCCCAGCGTCCCCCTCGGGGCTTCCCTCCACCCAGCCGCCCAGGTTGCCTCCTTGCTGGGCACCGCCCGACTAGGGGAGCAGCCTTAGAGCTGCAGAAAAGAGGGGCGGCCCTCCGTCGGAAGCGCCGTAGGAGTCCCCGCCCCTGGAGAGGCGGGCGGGCGGGCAGGGGAAGTTTCACTTTCGCTTCGGCGCACGGAGGACGCGCAGCAGCCTGGCGCGGGGAGCAGGCAGCCGGGGGGCCATGCGGAAGGACGGCGGGGGGCTGGCGGCGGCGGCCGCGCTCTGCACTCTGTCGGGTAAGGCGGCTCTCCCTTCCCCTCTTCCCGCTCGCGCCTTCCCCGCCCGTCGGAGGGCGTCGCCCAGACTGGCCCGCCGCATATCGGCCTGGCTCAGTGGCTCCGTCGCGACGGAGTCGGAGAACGCCCTCGGGGGCTCCTTGGTCTTGGCGCCGCTGCCGAACCTGCGCTCGGATGCTAAGCTGCGGAGTCTTGTGAGCAAAGATTCTACTTTGTGAGTTGCTGGCATAAAAGTTGCGGCGAGCCATTTGGCTCCGGCGTAAATTAGTTGGCTCCGGAGCCATTCTTCCTGGGCTAAGACAAAAACCGTGTGAGCCGGAGGCTAAAAAACTGTGAGCTGGCTCACACTAACTCAGCTTAGAGGGAACACTGGTCCGGACGTAGGTGCGTGAGCGTCTGGACCCTTTTTACGCACTGGGCGCACAATCCTCGCAAGTAAGGAGAATAATAATTTTAGGTGGTGTGGCCCCAGGAAACCTAAGGCTCTCTTCCCTAACAAATATCTGTAAAAAGGAGAGGGCGGTACCCCAAGGCCTCCTGAATAATTCCACTTGTGGGATCCCAAAACAGTGGCAACCAGCATGGTTACAAGTGTTGCGACTGGGAGACCTCGTTTCGAATGTGACCTCTGCCATGGAAGCTGGGTGGGCGACCTTGGGCCTCTCACATACTCCTGGCCTGCCCTACTTCGCAGGGTGAGTGTTGCGGTGATAAAATGTGGGGGGCAGGCAAAGTCTATCAGCCGCTTTGAGTCCACATTGGGGAGGAGCACAGCATAGACCGGAAGGGTGAAAACTATCCTCTCCTTTGCAAAAGGAAGGGGGCTCAGACCTGAGGAGTTAAACTCTGAGCTGTCACTGCGGTTCGAATCCGCTGCTGTGGAAGCTCCATGGGTGAACTTGGGCCAGTCACACACTCTGACTCTAAACTACCGTCAAACGCTTCTTGCTGTGAGTGTAAAATGGAGGAAGAGAGAATCAAGGAAGCGATTTTGGTTGTCAGTGGAGAGGTGAGGGAAATGGGGCATAGATCTGAAAATTCCATAAAGTAGGAGCCGCCACTGAAAAGTCCCTGGTTCTAGCCGTGAGCATCTGAAGTACCCCCCAGGAGGGAACGACCAATGGAGGTTGATCAAAGGAGCAGGAACCCATGGCCTCATGGGTTGATGGTGAGAGAGGCAGGTCTGTAAGGTCACAGGCGAGCCTGATCTGGTCAGATCTCGGAAGCTAAGCAGGGTTGGGCCCTGGTTTGTGTTGGGATGGGAGACCACCAAGGAAGCCCAGGGCTGCTTCGCAGAGGCAGGCAACAGCACACCACCTCTGAGCATCTCTTGCCTTGAAAGCCCCACCAGGGGTCACCGTAAGTCAGCTGTGACTTGACAGCACTTTAAACACACCTCCCCCCTGCCACAAACATTGTTAGTCTTTAAATGGCTCCTGGACTCTCGTTCTTTTCTGCTGCTGCAAGCAGATGAACACGGCCACCCATCTTGATCTACACACTGAAGAAATGAGCCACGAAAGCCAAGCCACGCAAACAGCAGGCTGAGGGGACTCCTGAAATGTAACAAGTACAAATTGAAATAACATTATGGAATTATCTTTTTTTTTAATTTACTTTCAGAGCGGCTAAAATCATTTGACGTGCCTTTGTTTTATCCTCCTCGTAACCTTGCGCGGTGGGTTAGGCTTGAGAGTGTGTGACTGGCCCAAGGTCACCCAACAAGCTTCCATTACAGAGTGGGGATTCAAACCTGAATCTTCTGGATCCTAGTCTGATTATGCTAATCGCAGTACCCGGATGCCTCTGGAGCAATGCATAGGTCAGTGGTGGCGAACCTATGGCACGGGTGCCAGAGGTGGCACTCAGAGCTCTCTCTGTGGGCACGTGTGCCGTCGCCCCAGCCAGGCCCAGACCTTCATTAAAGTGTCGAATTCTCTGCCAAATAATTTTAAGTAAATGAAAGCATTTGGGATTGCTTTCCTTACTTTGTTTGGATCATCTTAAGTTAATATATGAGTTGTTTTTTCTAAAGTAAAACCTCAGTATTCAAGTTAAATTGCCGTGTTGACACTTTGCGATAAATAAGTGGGTTTTGGATCACAGTTTGGGCACTCGGTCTCTAAAAGGTTCGCCATCACTGGAATAGGTCATCTGCTTGTTTTGTTAAGCAGGCGACAGAGAAAACTTACCGTAAATCCTCATTCATTCCTGGGGAAGGGAAAGCGTGACACCCACACGAGGCCGAATTCAAGTGTCACATGAGGAAGGTGGGTTGCCTGTGCTGTTGCAGGGGGGCGTTCAGCCCCCTTCAGTAGCAGCAAAGACCAACACTGCAGGAGTGGTGTAAATTTATTTATTTTTTATTTTTATTTTTTAGATTTATACCCCGCCCTCTCCAAAGGCTCAGGGCGGCTAACAAGGTGGCATGAATGCCAACATTAAAACAGATAAAAACAGGATAAAACAATATAATACAGTCAAATAAAATACTGGTGCTCTAGATATCACGTAAAGCAGATGTTCCTGTTCTATGCATCACTATAGGCCCCCTCCATGTAGAGGGAAGACAGTCTGGCCTGTATCATCCCCCACCCCACTCCTCTTGAGGTTTTCTTTGTACCTTTCAAAGATTTTTTTAAAAAAACTTTTCACCTTCTTCCTGTGACCCTGAGTTTTTCTTAGCCCTTCCCCTTGGACATTTTTGGATCTTCACTTGGGGGGGGGAGCACACGTGCGGCTATAAAGAAACACGATGTAACATATTTATTAGTAAGGAAAGGGCGGATATTTTGAAGCCGTGGGGGGAGTAGAAGTGGAAAGGAGCATTCCTTTTGGAGTAAACATAAGGAAATGTGTTCTTGGGGCGGAAATAGTCTAAAGACACGTCCCAGGAGAGTCAGTAATGAGGGAAACTGGGTGACCTCACGCCCACTTCCTATCACAAAGCCTCAGGCTGCTCCCTTTCGCCTTCTTCATGGCAGAGCCCAGGTTATTTTGCCTACCCAGCTCCCGTGACTCAGAGTATCAGCTTTTTGAACCTCTTAAGAAGTTGCAGGGGGAAGTGAGTGGGAGACATGCCTGAGAGAGCCAGGCTAGGGTGGCCAGAACCAGGTTGAGAAACCTCTGGAGATCTGGGGGATGGAGCCTGGGGAGGACAGGGACCTCAGTGGGGTCCAATGCCACAGAGTCCCCCCTCCAAAGCATCCATTTTCTCCAGGGGAACTGATCTCTAGTCTGGAGATGAGCTGTAATTCCAGGGGATCCCCAGGTCCCACCTGGAAGCTAGCATCCCTATGCCAGGCGCTTACAGTTCGTCGAAACAGAGCCCATGAATTTTAAAAACGCACACACCAATTTGAGGGGGCAAATGAAGAAACTCTGGTGTGGTGTTTTGTTTTGTGTTTGAAATTTTCCATTCCCCCCCCCCCCCCGCCTTCACATCTTTACAAAACATCGGAAAAAGTCTCTCTCTTTGCATCTCCAACAAGGTAGAATCTTTCTACCATATGTGGTGGAGGTGCAAAAAAAATCTATAAATTTTGGAAAGAGGTTTTAAAAAACTGATACATAAATTTAGAATTAAGTCCCTAAACATACCTATTAAATATGTTTTCGAATGACATAAACCCTAAATACGTTCACCTATTAACATATATCGTAACATCTGCTTGAATTTTGGTGGCTAAATACTGGAAATCTTCTACTCTTCCCTCTATGCAAGAGTTATTAACTAAACTGTTAGAAATTGCTGAAATGGATAAGCTAACGATGGTATTACATGGAAAAGATACTACAACTTTTCAGAAACACTGGTCTAGAGTGTACTCATGGTTAAATATTGAGGCAATTTATAGACTCATTTAAGCACACTGTTTATGTGGATTGTATTGCTGTATATTGTGGAAAACCTAAAATAAACTGTTAAAAAAAATCTGAAAAGGTTATGAGGAGAATCTCCAGGCTGTTAAATCCTCGCCAGCATGAGACTGTGCTATCTTAATCCCCCCCCCTCCATTATCTGTTACAGTACCAACTTCAAAAATAAGAAAATGTTCAGTTTCCCCCCTCATTTTTCCATGTCGGAGCTCCTTTGGTCAATGGATCGTGAGCAAGGACTAAAAGAGTACTAAATTAGTCTCTGGAGAAAAATACGATAGGCAGAAATTTACCAACCGATAAGGCTCTGTTCGGATCACTGTCTAGCATCAGACAGGGAATAACATCCCTTTGAAAATTATGGAATGTGGTAAAACAAGTAAAATCCAGCCATTCCTTAAAAAAAAAAAAAAACCAGTATAAAAGGAGCATTCCAGTATTTTATGAGATAAAGTATCAAATTTTACCCTGGACACGGACAAAAACGATATGAATAGGGCGGGGGTCCCCAATCTTTTTGAGCCTGCAGGCACCTTTGGAATTCCGACACGGCACAGTGGGTGCAGCGATAGGCTGCCAGAGAAGGCGGAGCCAGCCACAAAATGATTGCCACAGCTTCACTTTAGTAGCACGGCGTAGATCCTTGTGCTGCGGGTGGCAGCTGCTGCCAGAGCACTTTTTTAAAAAAAAAATCTGTCGTCACCCAGAAGCCTTTGCTGGGTGAAAGCCCAGCCTGGCTGTGTCCATTTCCTAAAAAACACGCCAGGAAAGGTGTCAGCAGGCGCCATGTTGGGGACTCCTGGAACAGGGAATATTACAAAACCTCCCACACGGTACTTCGGAGGGGTTAGTGTTCAGAGGCGCTAGAAAAATATTCAAATCAGGAAATAGGCCTTTGTCAGACCCACAAATTACAACGAACCAACCAGCTAAAGCCATTTAAAGCGCACGGCCCTGTTCGGGACAGCCGTATGGCAGCCGGTGTGTCGTAGGATGTCGGCAACTATGAGAAAGGCAGAAATTGCCAGAGACGTGGAAGTGCTTGGCTCAGTGCCTTCAGGCGCCCGGCTCTGCACAGGGTGGAAACTGCCACCGCCGTGGTGCGAGCAGTCACTGGTTGTGGCGCACGCTGCGCTCTCACCAGCGGGCAGCCCTGGATAGAGAGGCAGTGCTGGCCTGGGCCTTTGGCTGCTTCTGTGAATCGGCTGGGCCGGGGGGGTGGGGAACAGTCTGTCTCGGTTTCTCGCGTTGTCACTGTAGTATCGCTTCCTGGTTAGGTTTCTCTTGCCCGGGCCCACTCATTTCCTCTGAGACCAGATGAGCTGACTTTCTCGGGGAACCTTGTTTCCTCTGCAGGCCTCCTTGGAGAAGCGGGGAACCCGTGGGGGCTGGGGGTGGGGAAAGCTGCCAAGAACTGAGCCACAAGATATGTGGCTTTGTGCCCTGCCCATCAAAGCACTTGGAGCGTCTCTCTCCCTGTAGCATAGCTACGCACACGTGTGAAAGACAAAAGCCGTTCAAAATACCCTTGAAGTGGGTTTCTCAGACGGGGAGGTCTGTAAGCTGCGTGGGGGTTGGCCGTCTCTCGGGGATGTGTATTCCTTCATTGAACAGTGGGTTGGGCTAGATGTCTTGGCAGGGTCCCTTCCAGCTCTCTGGGGACAGCCACGCCAGAAGGTGGATTTACGGTCCCCATTCATCCTTCCTGGCCCCTCCCCTCCTTTCTGAACGGCCATTTGTAGCCTCCACTTCCGGCACCACCACCAGTGCCTCCGTCCAGAACTGCCCATGTTCAGGAACTTCTTTTCCACATTGGGACGTTCCTTCCGTCAACAGAGGTGTTCCCTTGTTCACAGTAAGACGCACCTGTGCTTTTGCCCCCATCCTGGAATACTTTATTTTTTAAAATATTTTTGATGTGAAAAACAAAAAGCTCTAACTTGTAATTAAGCCGTTCCACAGACATCCATCGCAGAGGTGTGGGGGAGTGGGACAAGGGTCCCCAACATGGTGCCCACAGGAACCAAGACACACACACACCCCCGACACCTTTCTGGGGGCCCACCAAGTTTTTTTTAGAAAGTGGGAGGGGCAACAGTTAGCCCCTGGAGATCTGATTGGCCATGCAGATTATGATGACATTGTGGCAGCAGTCCAGTGGCACCTTTAAGACCAACAAAGGTTTATTCAAGGCATGAGCTTTCATGTTCCTGAGATTGTCCACGGCCTTCCTTTCCACACAGCTGAGATTTTGCTGTATGTGGTGCTGTTTGTCGAGCCAGTCTGGTGTAGTGGTTAAGTGCGCAGACTGGGAGAACCGGGATTGATTCCCCACTCCTCCACTTGCACCTGGCTGGATGACCTTGGGCAAGCCGTAGTTCTGATAAGAGCTGTTCTTGAAAAAGAGCAGTTTCTGTCAAGAGCTCTCCCAGCCCCACCTACTTCACAGGGTGCCTGTTGTGGGGAGGGGAAGGGAAAGGAGTTTGTAAGCCGCTCTGAGACACCTTCGGGTAGTGAAGGGCGGGGTATCCATCCAATCTCTTCTTCTTCTTCTTCTCCTCCTCCTCCTCCTTCTCCGCCGCCGCCGTGGTGAAAGCATATTGTGTAAAGATCCAGTGTGGTATGGCGACCGTCAGGAGGGTTGCATGCACACGAAAACTCATCCCTGGAATAAACCTTTGTTGGTCTTAAAGGTGCCCTGCTGGATTCTAACTTTGTTCTACTACTTCAGACCAACATGGCTGTACCCACCTGGATCGATTGTTGCAGCAGCAGTGGCCTTCGCCACATGACTGTATTTATTTCTCTCTCATTCCTCTCTCTGAGTATATTTTTCTGGGGTTACGTCTCGTGCCCCCTGCGTTTCGACTTCCTCTGTGGGTGTGCCTGCCTTCTGTGGTGGCCCCTGTGTGGTTGCGCCCACCATCCTGGGTCAGAATTCCAGAGGTGCCCATAGGCGTGAAAAGTCTGGGGGGCCCTGGGGCAGGAGGGAGACTGGAGGCCATTGAGTTAACCTGGCTAAATTCTTAGGGGCCGTGGTCCCTAAGAATTTAGCCAGTGTACAGCTTGCTGAAACTAGGATCCTAGCTAATGCTTCCTCTAAGCTGTGGAGTCTTGTGAGCAAAAATCCTACTTTGTGAGCTACTGGCATTAAAGCTGCGAGCGAGCGATTTGGCTGCTGCGTAAATGAGTTTGCTCTGGAGCCATCCTCCCTGAACGAAGGCAAAAATGTGTGAGCCAGAGGCGAAAAACTGTGAGCTAGCTCACACTAACTCAGCTTAGAGGGAACACTGGATCCTACTATGGAATTCTTGCATCGTTGTAACGTGTCATGTTCACACTTATGTTTTGCTTTGGTTCCGTTTTCAGACGTCTGGTTGGTTCTCCTCCCCTTATTCCAATTGTGTTATTTATTGAATGTCCCGTGACCGCTTGTCGATTGTACTGACTCCCTCTGCGTAATCCGCCTTGAGTCCAAGTGAGAAAGGTGGCCTAGAAATAGCATAAATAAATTTTAAAAGTTGATAGATTTATTTTTTATTTCCTTCATTTTCACCCCCCACTTTTCTCCCCAAAGTGGCTTAGATCCCTCTCCTCTCCTCTGTTTTCATGGTCACGACAGCTGTGGGGGGGGGGTAGGTTGGGCTGAGAGTGTGTGACCGGCTGAAGGTCACCCAGCAGGCTTCCATGGCAGAGGGGGGATTCAAACTCGGGGCTCCCAGATCCCAGTCCGACACTCTAACTCAGGAGTCCCCAACGGGTGCCCACTGATACCTTTTCTGGCGCTCGTTCTAAACGTTTTTAGAATGTGGCTATAGTCACGTGGTTGGGTTCTGATTGGCTGTTGGAAATTTGATTGGCAGTGCAGATTTTTAAAACTGTTGCTTTGGCAGCAGCTGCTTCCACAGCCTAAAGGATCTTCACTGTGTGACTGAAGGTAAACTGGGAGCAGCCATTTTCTGGCAGCCATTTTGTTCCCGCGCCCCCCATGTTGTGTTAGAATTCCAAAGGCACCTGTCTGCTTCGAAATGTTGGGGACCCCTGCTCGAACCACTGGGTCCCAGCCACACCTCCCTTTTCTTTTCCCGTGGGATGTAATGCGTTCTCAGCTTCCAATACCACAGGCAGGTAATTTGCACATTTTTGTGTTTTCGTTGGCCACAGTTTGTCTCGGCTGTCTGCAGAAGCCACCTTTGGAAAGGTTTGGTGTCGTTGGAGGAGCCGTCACGCTGGAGCCAGAATTGAATGCTAGAACCAACCTGTCAGATATCTCCTGGAAGAGAGGCAAGGATTCAGTGGCCGAATGGGATGCGGCCCACTGGTTTGCCTCTGGCCTCAAGGGCAGAGCGGAGCTAGATTCAGCTACGGGCCGCCTGACTCTCATTAAACTGCAACAGAACGATTCTGGCGAATACACAGCAGACATTCTAGTGGGAGGCAAAATCCAGTGCACCCTCTTCTCTCTACAGGTTCTAGGTAAGTAGCCATATGCAAGATGAGAAGGAGTGTGCAGCTGCTCGTATTCTGTTTAGTTATCCAGTTGTTAGTAATTTATGGAATTCATGGCCCCAGACGGCGACCAGTTTGGAATGGATTTTTTTAAAGAGCGGATTTTGACGCCAGGCTCCATCAGTGGCAGTCAAGGCGTGTGAAATGTGCGTGTTACAACAGAGCTGGCGGCAGCTTCCCTGTGTGGTTTGCCTAGTGGAAGCACTGCGGTGTGTGTGTGTATGTGTGTGTGTAAGCTGCTTTTTGCCTGCATGCTGTGGTCAGAAGAGGAAAAGAGCCAGTGTGCATCTGGGAAGTATGAGATAGTTTCAGAGGATGGCCATGCTGGTCTGCAGTGGAAGAGTTGTATTCGAGTCCAGCAGCTTACAGACCAACTATATTTTTGGGGTAGAAGCTTACCAGAGTCAAAGCTTGTATCTGACAAAGGGAGCTTTGACTCTGGGACCCTGAAAATCTTGGTGGTCTCTCGAGCTCTCTTCTAGCTCTAGGAGGTATCAAGCTCCTCCTGTGGCATGTGTGGTGCAGAGCTCTGGTATTGTTCCCCGACAAGCACAAGAACTTTGGCGCGTGTAAGTGGAGCTTCAGAGGAGACCTATCTGTCTGGACTGGAGGACCTTGTCCATATGGACAAACGTGGCCACCCAGCAAAATAAACGCTGGACACAAGATTTAAAAAAAAAAGAGCACCACGTTCAGTTGAATAAAATCAGCTGAACTTGAAGGAATGCCCACAAAGCAAAAAACATCCAGCCACAGCAAGCAACTGCAAAAAAAAACCCCAGCAAAAGGCCAGGTCAGTTGACCAATAGAAACAATAACTCACTTCTGTGAGGCCAGTTCTGAGATAAATTCATTATCAGGTTGAAGAATTCCATGCCCAGAAGATGACCAAAAAACCTCCAGGATCTCCAGCCAAACTGGCCTGGAGAAAAATGGCTTCCAGGCCCCAAAGTGGCGATCAACATTTCCCTGGGCGTGTAAGGAAGGGCCATGAGAGCTAAGCACTGATGCAACCCTTCCTGCCCTCCCTCTCATGAGCTGCCTAAGAGAGCGGGGTTAATTCCATCCAGTGTTCCCTCTAAGCTGAGTTCATGTGAGCCAGCTCACAGATTTTAGCCCCTGGCTCACACATTTTTGTCTTAGCTCAGGAAGGAGGGCTCCAGAGCAAACTACTGTATGCAGCAGCCAAATAACTCACAACTTTAATCCCAGTAGCTCACAAAGTAGAATTTTTGCTCACAAGACTCCACAGCTTAGAGGGAGCATTTCCATCTCTGTCGCAGTTCATCCAAGGGAGGGTGTAGCCGGCTCCACCCTGCGAAGCCTAATGATTCATAGAGTAACGACAGTGGCCCATCCCCTGCGGGTAAGGCAGCTGGTTGATAAGAATTCAACTCCTTAATTAACCCTCATTGCTGGTGAAAAGATTAGGGAGGTTTCCAAGGACAGCGCTCCACAATAATAACATTTCACAGCTGAATGTAGTTATGCTGCGCTCAGATTGCTTCCAGTGACTCACACCGCTGGGTCCTGCTAAACTAATAACCCATTCCCACCAGCAGAGCCTACAAAATATAAGCCCAGACAGCCTCCGTTCCTTACACTGTCCCTCCTCAGGAGCCAGACTTTGTGAAATTCTGCCAGAGGTGAGAGACAAGAGAGTTAAGTGGCGTGCCGGCGGAGAGCAGCAGAGTCCCAGGGTGGCACCACAAGATTCTGTGGCTGAGGAGCAGCGTCCTGTGTCCCCAGTGTTCCCTCTAAGCTGAGTTAGTGCAAGCTAGCTCACAGGTTTTAAGCCTCCAGTCACAGATTTTTGTCTTAGCTCAGGTAGGATGGCTCCAGAGCAAACTAATTTATGCCGTAGCCAAATCGCTTCCTCATGACTTTAATGAACTATGAGCTCCCGGAGGAGATCCGGGCCCTGTGGGACCTTATGCAGTTCCACAGGGCCTGTAAGATGGAGCTCTTCCGCCAGGCTTTTGCATAGGAGCCGCCACCGCTACTGTACCACCACCGAGTTGCCATCTTTGACGGTGGATTCTACCAGGATGTGACCTGGCCCTGGAAAGACAACCAGATGTCCTGAAGAACTTATGCTGATGGGTTATGCTGGTTAATGGAACCCCATCTTGGATTGATAAGAGTTTATTCTCTAGAGCACCGGCACTTTGTTTGTGATCGATTGTTTTATTCTGTTTTTAGTTGTTGAATTATGGCATATGCCTCTTCTGTTAAGCGCCCTGAGCCCGTTTGGGGAGAGCAGGATATAATAAATAAATCAATAAATAATGCTAGTAGCTCACAAAGTAGAATTTTCGCTTACAAGACCCCACAGCTTAAAGGGAGCATTGTGTGTCACTCTAATTGGCCTTGGCACCAAAATTAGCAATCCCCCTGCCCCTTCGCGCTCAAAGTGGGAAGGTCCTTCTGATGGTGAACCAGGGGTCCTCAACACGGGTGTTTGTGGATCCATGCCGCCCACCAGCACAGATCTTGAGATTGCCAAGTGTTTTGATGAAGTGGGAGGGGCCAGGTGGGGCGCTTGCCCAGCAGGGCTTCTGATTGGCCACTGGAGATCTGATTGGCTGGCCCAATTGGAGTAACGTTTCAGTGGCAGCTGCCACCACAGCATTGGTTTTATTCTCCCTCACTCCTCTTTCCCAGTGCACTTGTCCCTGGCATGTAGGCATCTTTTCTCTGTGTGTGTCTCCGCCTCCTTTGGCAGCCATTTTGTGGCTGGCTTTGCCTCCCACAGCAGCCATTTTTAGTGGACAGCGGCATCTAGGAAGCCCTCCCTGGCCTAGGCCCATAGACCAGGGGTCAGCCACCCTTTACAATTAAACAGCCAAATGGCCTCTAAAAATCCAGAGCGACAGAGAGATGTAGGACAGAGCCGACGTGATTGATGATTGATGCATTGGTTAATAAAGCTTAAACTTTCCTCAGCCCAGACAATGGTTTCTGTGTCCTTTGTCAGAGAGTGGTGCATGGGCGAACTCAAAAATAAGCTATGAGCGCACACAGGAACATTCTGCGCAATTGTTTTAGCACAGTGGCGTAAATCTGCACATTGTTTGCTTTGGATGACGGGCAGCCAGTCTCCTCTGTCGCCTCCCTTTCTATAAAGCGTCTCCAGGAAGCCCTTTAGTCCTGCGAAAATCTTTGCCAGCTGTTCCCTTCGCGTGCTGGGTTATTCCAGCATCTCATCTGCCCCTCCAGTATGTAAAGGTTTCTGTTTTCTTTTTTACCAACTGTGTTTAGGAAAGACATGGCTAAGGGGGGGACATGGTAGAGGTTTATAAACTTATGCGCGAGATGGTGAGAGTTGACAAAGAGAACCTGTTTCTCCCTCTCCCAAAATACTAGAACTCGAAGGCATCCAATGAAGCTGATGGGCAGGAGGTTCAGGATGGACAAAAGGAAATACTACTTTACACAGAGAGGGATTAAAATGTGGGATTCGCTGCCACAGGATCTAGTGATGGCTACAGGAATAAACAGCTTTAAAGGGGGATTAGATAGATCCATGGAGGATAGGTCTATCAATGGCTACTAGCCATGGTGACTGAAGGGAACCTCCATGTTCAGAGGCACTAAACCTCTGAATCCCAGAGACAGGTGGAGACGTGAGGGGAAGGCCTTGGCCTCTCTGCCCTGTGGTTGGCCCTCCATAGGAACTGGTCGGCCACGGTGTGAGACAGGAGGCTGGACTAGATGGACCACTGGTCTCATGCAGCAGGGCTCTTCTTAGGTTCTTAGGAAGGCCTCGGCCTGTATGCCCTGCTGTTGGCTGTCCAGAGGAACTGGTTGGCCACTGTGTGACAAAGAGAGCTATGATTCTGGAAAGCTTATGCTACAACAAAATTTGTTAGTCTTAAAGGTGCTACTGGGCTTTTTACTATTTTGTAACAATTCAGAATGACTTGGTAGAAAAATGGGAAGTGGAGGGGGCTGGTTTCCAGGCTGTGGGAGGTCCTGGGGAAATCAGTGCTGCCAGTACACAGCTTGTATTTTCACCTGCCTCCCCTTCCCCTCAATCCGGTGCAGCCTGGCCTGGGGATGAGGAATTGCCTCATCCAGGTGTTCTGTTTGTCAGAGTCCCCAGTTTGCATGTGTGCATCTATGGATTTGCATAAGCCTTGGCTAATGGCAAACACCCTCTTTTTGGGCAGGGTCCCCTGAGCATGTGACGGCTGTCAAACTTGGGGCTTTTTTTGGAATCAAGGGATTTTCTGGACATGTTTCAGTCTGACTTCCAGCCCGGTTTCAGTTCTGTTTTGATTTCCCTGCCGGGCAGTCTGTACTGAGAGATGGAGGGGTGGGTGGGAGGTGTCTGCCGTTGTCAGTTTGGCTCCTTCACCAGCTTTTATGCCCATCAACAAGGATTACCTCATAGACCGGTTAGCTGAGATGGATTGGGGTGGCGGCAAGTTGTGGGTTTGGTTCTTGGGGAAGAAGCAAAAGTGGAAGCACCAACGGTCCATGCTGCTTTGCTCTGATTTCTGAGGTGTAGCAGTTGGGGTCCCCTGACCTGACTCTGCCAATAGGGATGCCAGCCTCCATGTGGGGCCTGGGGATCCCCCAGAATTACAGCTGATATCCAGAGATCTGTTCCCCTAGAAGAGACCTTGGCTCTACAGGAAGGAGGCTTGGCTGTACTCTTCATATATTGAGTTGCATTTAAGGAGTCCTGTGTGGACTGTATTGAATATGTATGAATATATTAGCCACTGACCACTTCAGAGAAGTCCTTGTGGCTGTACAGGAAGAGAGCTTGGCTGTATTCTAATGCACTGAATTGCATTTAAGCTGTTTAAGAAGTCCCATCTGGACCATATTGAGTATATATGAATGTATTCGATGTTAGTTGTTTATATCACAAACTTTGAAAGATTATCTTTAGGACTTTTTGTATTTTTTTGTACAGCATTTGTACATTTTGTGCAAATGTAGGTCCATTTGTATTT